TAACTTTACCCCAATCCGATCGCGGCTCTCCCGGTGTTAGATTGATGGATAAGCTGTTTGATTTGTAATTATTAGATTATTTTCACATTTCACTTACTCTGCTGTGCATGAACATAGCTGTTCAATTTGTGTGTTTCCCATTTGAATGGTCTGCTAAGGAGGCGGCTGCTGCTTGCGCTGGGACCTAACGTTATAGGCTTTAGCTTCAATTCTGATGAAATTATTCTCTAATCGGTTGCATATTATGTCGTGGATATATCCCTCGAATGCATACTGCTGTCCAGAGGTGGGTAATCCAGGGGCCAAAGAGTAAAAGTCCTGCCATAAATTTATTCCACCCATGAACTCAGTCAGCTGATTTCACTAATTAGTTCTGTCTCCTGTCTGAATTAGCAAATTCAGGTGATTGGAACAAAATACTGAGGAGGACTTTTACTTTCTGAACCTGGACTTTATACCTCTGGCCACATGTCAGCCAAGAGCAAAGAGTCTTAGATGAAATCCACTGAAGATAAAAGAAGACATTAAATCTGAAGATCTCAGCAGAGGAGGATTAAACAACTCCACAAACAGCATTACCAGCTTCACTTATTACTAACCAGACTCACTTTATTTCTGTCAGACGTCTACAGAAGTTTTATTGAGAATTAACAGAGGTTTAACTGTTTAATTTTAAGTCACCATAACAGTGATTAGTGTTTACCTTAGTTGGGCTCTCAACTCTTAATATATATTTTGTCTTTTTTGGCTCCTGTGATAGTGTGTGTGTCAAACACATTTGCAGCAGCAAAGAAAGCTAAAGTGAAATGAGATCAGGTGATGATGTTTTTCTGTTGATGGATTTATACTCATCATGAAATAGACTGATTCATTGAGGTTTTGATAATCCAACAGTTATATTGTTCCATTAATATATTCACATCTGCAGCATGAGAATCTTTTCAACTTCGTCAAATAAGTCTTTTAACAAACATAAAAAAAAAAAACTGGCCTACATTGACATACACATAGGGCTGGGCGATATATCGCACGATATTGTTATGCGCATCTCGTCAGTAAAGCCGGTTCCTTGATTAGTAGTAAATCGCCTTCACCTGCTTTCAGATGGAGCGGCATTTACTACAAAGAGCCGTAGTTAACTGACAAGCTGAGCCAAATCGCACTAATATCGCGGACGTATCGCCAGCGACATTTAATGCGATATGGCTCAGCTTGTCAGTTAACTACGGCTCTTTGTACACAGCAAAAACTCCAATGTTAAATTAACACTCCTGGGAGTGTATATGAGTCCACACTCAAGAGTGTTAAAGTTAATGAGATAATTAAGTTATTAATTGAGTGATGATTGAGCATCTAAAGGAGAAAATCTAAAATTGTAAGCCACCGTTATGGCGATCATTGTTTGCTTTAGTTGGGCTCTTGACCCTTAGAATAATAACTTTAGATTTTGTTTGGCTGTTGTATCAGAGTTATAACTGCCAGATGAACAAAGATATAAAGTGATCTAATGATGTTGGTTATATTATGACAATCACTATTTGATCATTATTTTTGTGATTTATGCTGTTGGTTGTACAGCTTATTGTACAGTTGTACAGTTATGTACAGCATAACTGTGATTCTGGATAAATATCCAGAATTTTAGATATAATATAAAGGATTGCTTAAAAGTTGTTTTAAAAAAAACTTTCTTTTAGGCACTCACAGACTTCAAGATTCAGTCAATGCATCTCAACAATGGTGATGAGCAGAATATTCAATTAGGAAAAGTAAATTACATAGACAATTCAGATCATAATTTATTCATACCGCAATGCATGATGGGAGCCATTAATGAGTTGTGATTGGTGGCAGCCACTGCAACATGCATTATTATTGTAACCATTGTTGAGATTCACAGGCTGATTATTGATGTCTGTGTTTCTAAATTCATTTAAAAGGGTTTTGATCAGAACAATGTTTATGAAATATTTTGTATTATAAGAAAAATACTGATAATCATATGCTGTAGAATCACAAAGCTGTTGCTAACGAGTTAAACCGAACTATCTCAATAAGTTTAATTTTTCAAATCACAGCATGATTATGCCAAAACATAACCAACACTATCAGATCACACGTGTCTTTGTTCATTTGACTGTTATAAATCAATAACAGCAGACAAATCAAAATTAAAGTGAAAGAATAAGGGTCAAGAGTCCAACTAAAGCAAACACTGATCGCCATAACGGTGGCTTACAATTTGTGATTTTCTCCTTCAGTGATTCTGCTTGATAACGTCAGGTGTCTTCAATAATTCTCAATCACTCAATGAATCACTTAATTATCTCATTAACTTTAACACATATTTGCATCATATCTTCCATCTGAAAGCAGGTGAAGGCGATTTACTACTAATCAAGGAACCGGCTTTGCTGACGAGATGCGCATAACAATATCGTGCGATATATCGCCCAGTCCTACCTCAGTGATAGGGTCTATTTCATGATGATTATAAAACCATCATCTCCTGATCTCATTTCACTTTAGCTTTCTTTGCTGTTGCAAATGTGTTTAACACACACACTGCCATAGCTGCCAATATAGACATTAGATGAAATAAGAGTTAAGAGGCCAACTAATGGAAACACTAATCACTGTTATGGTGACTTTAAATGAAACGGAGTTAAACTTCTGTTAATTCTCAATAAAACTTCTGCAGACCTCTGACAGAAATAAAGTCAGTCTGGTTAGTAATAAGTGAAGCTGGTAATGCTGTTTGAGGAGTTGTTTATTCCTCCTCTGCTGAGATCTTCAGATGTAATGTCTTCTTTTCTGTTCAGTGGATTTCATCTAAGGCTGTGTCTGAAGTCAGTTGTAGTTCTTGTGTTTCTGCTCGTCTCTTTTTCTGTTCTCTTCTTTCCTTCAGTGATTCTGCTTGTTAACAGGCTTTATTAAGGTTGCAATTACTCTAATTTAATATACACAGATTATTTTGGCTACGATAAGATCCAGTTCTGGTTTATTTCTTTACTCTTTGCTGACATGTGGCCAGAGGTGTAAAGTCCAGGTTCAAAAGTAAAAGTCCTCCTCAGTATTTTGTTCCAATCACCTGGATTTGCTGATTCAGACAGAAGACAGAACTAATTAGTGAAATCAGCTGACTGAGGTCATGGTTGGAATAAACTTATGGCAGGACTTTTACTCTTTGGCCCCTGGATTACCCACCTCTGCTGCTGTCCCTTTTGTCTTGCTCTCTCAGATATTTCACCTGTTCGCCAAAAATGACTAATTATCTCCTTGTGAATGTCTGACACCGGTGCATTCACACTGTAATAGACGTGGCAGCCGCGAAAGCTTGACAGGCGTAGCAACAGTAACTAAGGAGGGCGGGGCTTAGCGAAGGGTCAATTCTGCGGAGAAACTCATCAGCATCTGGAGAGCTGTGCTACATAGCGCCCTCTTCGGGTGATGTAAAATACTACAGAGATTCAACATGCTCCTGTCACTATTAAAATGTTTCAGATCTCCATCTAAAATGACTCAGTTTGACTGAAATCAGCAACAAAAAGACAGTGAACTCATGAAACCACTCTTATAAAAGCTAGTTTCACTGTCAATGTATGGCCTTGTTCACCTGAATTATACTCTTTCTTTACTTGACATGTCACTTCATTCTCGGGTGAATGTTCAGTCTTGAGCAGATTTCAAAATCTCCATCCTTATATTCATGGAAATACTCGACTTGTGTAGTGCTGTGATGTTTTATATGAAACCATTTTGAACAGTAGTTTGCTCATTACATTAAGATTTAAAGATTACAGGGGATATCTGTACTCTAAAAAAAAAAAAAAAGTCCACCACAGGTACATTTAAAATGAGCTAGTGAAGATAAGAATTCAGATTAAAATTCAAAAGAAACTGAGACCAGTTACAAAACCTAAAATATACAAATTATACCCTTAACTTAGTTTTGATTTAGATAAAACAAACATTCATATATCATGAAACCAAGTGTGATGTTTAGATGACTATATAAGCAAACCATGTCAAGTTTGTCAGAGTAAGTGTGACCCCTGGACCACAAAACCAGTCACAAGTCGCACGGGTATATTTGTGGCAATAATCAACAATACATAGACACACGACCCTTGTGACTGGTTTTGTGGTCCTGGGTCACGTGCTCTTTTAAAGGGGTGGTTGATTATGATTTCACTGTTCTAACTTTAGTTAGTGTGTAATGTTGCTGTTTGAGGATAAACAACATCTGCAAAGTTACAACGCTCAAAGTTCAAAGCAAAGGGAGATATTTGCTTTTAAAGAAATCGTTTTTAAAGGACTACAACAAACGGCTGGTAGAACTACACGAGCTTCCTCCCGGGTTAGTGACATCCCCAACCCTAAAATTTACATTAAAAAAAGAGGAAGAGCTGTTGTAGTCACTCTGTGTGCATCTCACAACAGTTCCTATACAAGCAATTTATAGATTTCCTGACAGAATATGCTAATTGAAGATAGTTAACTCCACATCAGCAACATAAATTCATCAACTAACCATTCAGAGACGTCCTGTTGCATTCTACATGGTGTCACTTCTTCTTGAGTCTCTCCATCTTTGTCTGACTCCAGTTTAAACAAAAAAGGCAGAACAGTTTCTGACATTTTAGCGTGTGTCTGCGTGAGGTATTCGGAGCTGCTAACACACACACTCTTGAAGCCCCGCCCCCTGTGTCGGGAGCAGCAGCTCATTTGCATTTAAAGGGCCAGACATAAAACGGTGCGTTTTTGCTAACCCTCAAAAAGTGACAACTTTAACATGCTATATAAAAATATATGTGGGGTATTTTGAGCTAAAACTTCACATACACAATTTGGGGACATCAGAGATTTATTTACATTTTTTTAAAGGGCATTATACCACCCCTTTAAGATCCTGTAGAGCTAGATGTGGTTAGAGACAAAGAAGGGGAAGGAAATGTTAATATTAGTTGCTGACACACATTATTCTCTCAGGTCGGAAGAGAACGACAGTAACGTTTGTCACACAGAATTTGTTCTTTTATTTCAGCGAAACGCTTGTCAAATGTCATGATGTTGGACGTCCTGCTGCTCTTTTCCAGCATCTGTACAGGTGAGTTTCAGACTCTCAGCTCTTTTACACAGAGTTTGACTTCTTCTCTTGTTTTCCTCTTTATCACATGATCATCAGACTCATATGGAGGATATTTGTAAGTTATTATTCTGGCCTGCTTATGTCTCTTTCTCACACATAACAGCTCTATATAATGATATTTGTGTTTTCAGCTGTTGTTGGTGGAGCTTCACAGACAATTACTGGATACAGAGGAGAGAGAGTTGACATCAGATGCTCATATGAATCTGGATATGAAACATATTCAAAGTATTTTTGTAAAGGGGAGTGTTTATTGTTACATAGAAACATCATGGTTAAATCAGGATCTCCAGCTAAAGACGAGAGATTCTCTCTGACTGACGACACGACGGCCAGAGTTTTCACCATCACCATCACTGATCTGAGAACAGAGGATGAAGGCCAATACTGGTGTGTTGTGAGGAGGAGTTTGCCTTTGCCTGATGTCTATTCAGAAATGTTGTTGCTGGTTAAACTGGGTAAGTGCTCATTAGAAGTGTACCTGAAATGAACTACAAAGGAACAGGAAAATTGGTCATCAAATAAAATAAGGCCACAATTGTTTCAAAGCAGCTTCATGGTAATAAACAGGGAAATGACAGTTCTGTCGTTGCAAAATTATACAATCACTTTATTTTGAGCTATTAAGCAGCTCAAGACAAGGGTACAAATTATTGTTTTTATGTATTTTCAGTTGAATTAAGTGTCAGTGTTTTAGAAACTTTGACTTTAAAGCTCCAGTCCGTAACTTTTTTCAAGTTAAAAATAATCCAAAATAATTATTTAAAAAAAAAACATATTCAGCCAGTGTTCAAACCTATCTGGTTGCCGTAGCTCGATTCAAAATGGTTAGCTTGTAATAATGATTTTAATTCCAGTGGTACTGGTGGGTTTCCGCGGGAAATTCGAGCATGTCTTTGCGTCATTACGTCACACCCGTACACATAAAGAAGGAGTTTCGGCTAGCCGGCTATACTGCGCGTGAGGACATTGACGGTGAGGAGATGTAGAGATGTATAGCCTTTTCTCGCAGCACTTAACATAATTTAACTTATGGCGGATCCAGAAAGATCCAAACGACAATCATCAGTGTCAACTGGAGATTCACCAGATACAAAACCCAAAAGACTTCGTACTTCGGATTTTAAGTGGCTAGAGAAAGACAGCAACCGTCTCATGTGAACACAAGGATAAACATCGGCAGGGCTTTTGAAAAGTGCGTGAAGGGGTTCAAAACGGAAGAAGAGACGCTTTTTTCTGCTGGACAAGTAAGACATTTCAATAGTTCAATCGTGTAACAGTACCACAATTGTTTACTTAATTCACACAGTTATGGAGTTTCCTTTGTTGTGCCTTTCTCGTTTAGCTATTATGGTGAATATGAATTCTGAACTACAGACCTGTAACCATAAAACACATTAAATCACGCAATGCTGATGTTGTTAACATTAACAATTTGAGAACAAAGTAGGGCTATAATTTGCACGGTTCGAAATGATAAGCGATCGTTAGATTTAATCAGCGCGATTTACTGCAGACAGTGCAATGCATTTTTCCCCTTAGTTGATCTGAACAAAAGTGAATGTTACTTACTTGTTCAGATGACATTTTCCGGTGAAAATTCTTATGTTGGTCATCCTGTACTTCCAAAAAGTAGAATGTGTGATTCTGAATGCCAGTCTCCACACCGGCGCTGTGACCGACAGCCGCAACGCGCACTCTCCTCACAACATTCTGTTCATCCGCGCTGTTTCATGCCGATGTACAACTCACGTAAAATTAATAATTCCGCGAATGACTGCAATTGCAGACTTCAAACAGAGATGGCGACAAAGAGGAAAAGCCACGGACTGCAGCTTTAAGTTGATCTTCCCTGTCATCCATCAGATATTAAGACCACTGAGGTTTCAACTATCAGCTCTTTTTAAAAAAACAACATCATATTTTAGTACATCAGAACTGAGTCTACAAACAACCAGCATGAACCACACAGATCGGCACGTCTCAACAATTCAGTCTTCAAATCTGTCTGCCACTCTTTATGACTCTTATTTCTTGAATATTATCTAGATCATCTATATCAGTTTAAAGCAGTGTTTCTCAACCAGTGGGTCGCGACCCACTAGTGGGTCGTTGTTCGTTCTATAGGGGGTCGCAAGACTTTCTCTGTGTTAACCGGCACAGCCAATAAAGGCCCGTTCACACCAAGCACGATAACTATAAAGATAACGATAAAGATAACTATATATGCGTCCACACCAACGACTGATAACGGTCTTTTTATTCTAAGCACGCGCGCGCCCGCGCTGCGGTTTCAAAGTAGACCTTTAAATTAGAATGGATTCTGATTGGCTGTCAGTGTTTTATCGTTCGACAGCTGGAAAAAAATCGTTCTGAAAGTGATCCCAACGATATCGTTCCTCATATCTTTATCGTTATAGTTGTGGTGTGAACTCTGTTATTCTTTAATATGGAGAACGATTTTTTGAATTATATCTTTATCGTTATCTTTATAGTTATCGTGCTTGGTGTGAACGGGCCTTAAGTGGGCTTCACAAAAGGCTCATTGCAACAGGCTACGTTTACATGCAACCAAATCCAAATAATCCATTAGTAAACGCATTGACGGTTCAATCGGACTAAAAAGCCTTCATGTAAACACCTTACTCGATCCGATTGAGCTCGATCCGAATAAAATTTCAATTGGATTGAAAGGGGTGGTTTATTCCTTTTCTAATCCAACTGGGAGGACATGTAAACACTTGATCGGATTGAAACCCGAAACTGAAAGGACTGCGCATAGCATATTGATGTATGACGCGCTGAACGAGCTGTTCTTCCTTTTGAGTAAAGTGTCGTATAAATGAGCGTACCATCATGCTAAAATTCTCCTTTCACTCAGCGTCTGTGAAGTGGAGCAGGACAACATCCCACCAGTCCTTGTTTCAGACTCTCATTCACAGACGACTGGATTTGGGCGCTGGGCATTTTTACTGCGTGATAAATAAGTAGCACGGGCACGGCACAACGGTTCATATGCTCATTGTCTCCAAATTATGACCAGCAATGGATAAATATTAAGTCTGCTGTTTAAAACAAATAAAGAACCAATGTAAGAGAATAGTTAGTATGCGCAAACAGCGGGAAACTCTGTATATTCTTGCAGTGTGCGCATGTCAAAAAGATATAATTCGATTTGAATCTTGTGACATAAACGCGCACATTAACCCGATCACGTTTAGCGTTCATGTAAACACTACATTCAGATTCATCAAAAAGTTGTGAAACAAAAGTTGTGCATGTAAACGTAACCGATCCTCCAACGAATCGTAGGCTATTTTCATTCCTTGGTTTCAAACCAGAAATGAATATCCACAACTCGCAGATTGTGCAACGAAGTTTCTCTTCCCATTTAGCACTACCCATCTTTGTGAGTCGGGATTTTCAACCGTGACTGCAACGAAAACAAAAAGCAGGAATAGGCTGACAACAGTTATTTGTGTGCGACTCGTAGTGAGTCACACTTTTCCAAATTCCACCGCATCTGGATATGATCATTTCAGAGCGGCAGTCTAAAGTAGGCTATCACATTAACGTGAGTAAAAAAATCAGTTTGCCTCATAGTCTGCCTAATTATTGAAAATGTTTGTGTGTTTTCGTGATTATCATTAATTATAATAAGCATATAGGCCTAAAGGTGTAGCCTAGATCTAAAGAGGCATTTCAGTTATTGATTTATTTAGTGGGTCATATGACTGGCATACAAAAGAAAAGTGGGTCGCAGTAGGCAAAAGGTTGAGAAACCCTGGTTTAAAGGACATTAAATGTGTGTTACAGGTCAGGACTCTCATTCAGGGTCTGTCATCTATATCTGTGTTGGGTTAGTCTTCATCATGATCATCTTCCTCATGGCGCTGATGGTGTTGTTTAGGAAGAAAAGCAAGAAATCATCAAGAGTTACACAATCAGGACTTTCCCAGCACGGTCAGATTTAGATGCACATTTCTCCAGAAACAAAACACACACACACACACACACATTTACTTACTCTATAAATGGGAATTTCCCATAGACATAAATTGATTTTACAGCTAGTTATAAATGCTATGTCAGCAAGGGGAGAGGATGAATACTATCCCTGAGTTTTTGAAGAAACTTTGTCTGAATCAGGGTTTGAATGAAGGAATCATGTCTTCATCTGGTTGATCTTGTGGAAAAGATGTTGACAGTCCGTCACTGAGCTCATCTAAAGACACAGGTACACACACGGCTCTTTCTAATGTTTGCTGTTTGAATGTAACTTTATTTCTCCTCATGTTTTGACAGTCGCCGTCGGGCTGTTGCCTTTGAATTCAAGAGCAGAAACCACTGCAGAGGTGAGTGTTTCTGGTGATGATGATGAAGATGATGATGATGATGATCTTATATCTGTAAGCTCTTGAAAACACCAGCTGTAAAGTCAGTGCTGGTAAAAGCTGATTGTTGCTCATTGGTTTGGTGCTGCTGACTCTGAACATCTCTCTCCTGCATCTAAAACTCAACATGTTTCTGCTAGTGATAACAAATAATGGTGCAATGTTCAAATGTGTAATGGTTTGGAAGATAACATGAGTTCTTTTGCAGGACATTGACTGGAGTGACCATAATTATCAGGAAATCAGCGAGTTCCAGTGCAAGAACAGAGACACTATCTACACTACAGCAGAAAGTCCAGATGATCCAACGATCTACTCCACTGCAGATAAACCAGATTCAACAGTAGATAAACCAGATTCAATGATCTACTCCACTGCAGATAAACCAGATTCAACAGTAGATGAACCAGATTCAACGATCTACTCCACTGCAGATAATCCAGATTCAACAGTAGATGAACCAGATTCAACGATCTACTCCACTGCAGATAATCCAGATTCAACAGTAGATGAACCAGATTCAACGATCTACTCCACTGCAGATAATCCAGATTCAACAGTAGATGAACCAGATTCAACGATCTACTCCACTGCAGATAAACCAGATTCAACAGTAGATGAACCAGATTCAACGATCTACTCCACTGCAGATAAACCAGATTCAACAGTAGATAAACCAGTTTCAACGATCTACTCCACTGCAGATAAACCAGATTCAACAGTAGATGAACCAGATTCAACGATCTACTCCAGTGCAGATAAACCAGATTCAACAGTAGATGAACCAGATTCAACGATCTACTCCACTGCAGATAAACCAGATTCAACAGTAGATGAACCAGATTCAACGATCTACTCCAGTGCAGATAAACCAGATGAACCAATGATCTTCTCCAAGGCAGATAAACCAGATGATCCAGTGATCTACTCAACAAGAGACCTTAGTGACATTTTTACTGACTGTGTCTCAAAGCAGCTTTGTGAAGTGGCAGTTCAACCCACAATGCAACAGAGACAGGACATAAACAATCCTTTGTTTTAATGTGACAGTTGCGGCGACCTATCAGGGTGGAGTATGGGCTATTTAAAGGGTTAGTTCACCCAAAAATGAAAATGATGTCATTAATGACTCTCCCTCATGTCGTCCCAAGCCCGTAAGACCTCCGTTCATCTTCAGAACACAGTTTAAGATATTTTAGATATTTTAGATTTAGTCCGAGAGCTCTCTGCCCCTCCATTGTAAATGTATGTACGGTATACTGTCCTTGTCCAGAAAGGAAATAAAAACATCATCAAAGTAGTCCATGTGACATCAGTGGGTTAGTTAGAATGTTTTGAAGCATCGAAAATACATTTTGGTCCAAAAATAACAAAAAATACGACTTTATTCAGCATTGTATTGTCTTCCGGTTCTGTTGTGGATACAATATTTGATATGCATCTTATCAGCCTTCTCTAAAACTTATCCAAAATCTCCACTGACATGGTTTTAAAATAGGCTTTATAAAACACATAATTTTAGAGATATCATCCTCAGATTTGAAATGAAGCATGACCACAATTGTGGCTACACTTTAGTTGTGGTTATAAGTTGCAATCCTAAATTCACATAATATTTTAATACATTTAATAAATATAGTATTAATATTTGTTGTCTTTGTTTTTATGTTTGAGCTTATCTCAATATTAATAACAGTCTGATTAATTTTGAGTCTCAAACTGGAAACTCTCAAGGGTTGGCTTTCTAAATATATGTTGGTTATGTGTCTATTCAGAATGACTTATGAGAAGCAACCTTTTTATTTTGGGTATGTCATGAATGCATCACTTGCCAAAATTGGGGCTGACTATCAAATCGTGTATTTAGAACACCACTGATGTGTTGTCATTTCCTCGAATTATAGCGTTTACTTTGTATTTTCCCGCGGCGCATTTCACCAGCGCAAAGTAGGTGACTGCTCACCCTTCAGGTATGTAAAAACCGTCTCTGTATTGAGTGGTGGGTAATGATGGCGTGCGGTATAGTGGGTCGCTGTGTCGATGTTAATGTGTTAATGCTTCCTGTACCCCAGTTAAGCTGCGGTTTTGATGAGGTCTGTAAACCGTAGCCTGTGAAACTTTATATGTGGGGCGATATCCTCTCTTGGTAAGTGTAATGCAAGATAGCTGAAAATGGTATAGGGGAAAAAGCATTAGTAACCTCTTGCTTCCTTTAAGGTGTTCGTAAGGCGTGGATCCTCTCTCTCGTCCTCGGGACAGCTTTTCTGGTCCTCGGCTCGATCTTGCTGACCACGGTGTTTGTGCTACACTCAAAAAAATGATATGTTGGCTTTACTTAACTTTTTTTTGTAAACAGGTTCCACCGGTTCCACATAACTATGTTTCGTTAAACAAACATAATATGTTCATGTAACTTCAACATCATGGAATTTGGTCATTTTAAGCGACCCAATTAATCTCTGAGCTAATGAGTTAATTAAGTGAATAACTGAGTGATGATTGAGCATTATTGAAGACACCTGATGTTAACAAGCAGAATCGCTAAAGGAGAAAACCGGAATGTTTCAGTCACCATTATGGAGATAAGTGTGTGTTTTAGTTGGGCTCTTGACCATTAACTTATTAACTTTAGATTTTGTTTGGTTGCTGTACATGAGTTATAACAGCCGGATGAACAACAAACAAAGGTCATCTGATGGTATTGGTTGTGTTTTAACATAATAATTATTTCAAAATCGTTTGACCTGAGTCACTGAACTTATATTAAACCGAATTTCTGAGTTAAGTTTACCTTATGGATAATAACAGCACTGTCATTGTAGAGCATACTATTTTTAGATTTTTCAATGAAATTCAAATGACCAAATCAAGAAATAAAAAAGACACTTCCTAAAAAAAATATTTAGAATAGGCACACACAGACATCAAGAATCAGCATATGAATCTCAGCAATGGTGACAAACAGATCATAAGCTCATTATTTATTCATGCAGCAATGCATGATGGGAGCCATGAATTAGTTTTGATTGGTGGCACCCAGAATGCACTACAACATGCTTTATAATTGTCACCATTGTTGAGATTCACAGGCTGATTCTTGATGTCTGTGTGTGCCTACTCAAAATATTTTTTAGGAAGTGTCTTTTTTATTTATTGATTTGATCATTTGAATTTCATTGAAAAGTCAAAAAATTAGTATGCTCTACAATGACAGTGCTGTTATTATCCATAAGGTAAACTTAACTCAGAAATTCGGTTTAATATAAGTTCAGTGACTCAGGTCAAATGATTATGAAATAATGATTATGTTAAGACACAACCAATACCATCAGTTGACCTTTGTTTATTGTTCATCCGACTGTTATAACTCATGTACAGCAACCAAACAAAATCTAAAGTTAATAAGTTAATGGTCAAGAGCCCAACTAAAACGAATACTTATCTCCATAATGGTGACTTAAACATTCCGGTTTTCTCCTTCAGAGATTCTGCTTGTTAACATCAGGTGTCTTCAATAATGCTCAATCATCACTCAGTTATTCACTTAATTAACTCATTAGCTCAGAGATTAATTGGGTCGCTTAAAATGACCAAATTCCATGATGTTGAAGTTACATGAACATATTATGTTTGTTTAACGAAACATAGTTATGTGGAACCGGTGGAACCTGTTTACAAAAAAAAGTTAAGTAAAGCCAACATATCATTTTTTTGAGTGTATCCTTCTCATCGCTGTAACAGCGCCGTGGGCCATCAACAAATTAACAGGATTTGTACCGTCTAGTTCCTATTTGGGTGATAGAAACTGTTCTAAACTGGGACTGACCGCTAGTTGTATGAGAATTAGTGGTGTGGATGTGTGTGTGTGTGTGTGTGTGCTGCACCAGCTCTATCCTCTGTATTTTTTCTTTGTTTTCTTTAGATTAACAGTTGTGTATTTTGTTTAATTTGCTCTTTTTGTTATTCAAGTTTGTGTGTTGTTGTTGACATTGGTTATTGTATACTTAAAGATAGGTTATGGCATTTGCAAAACGGCCGGTGGATTTTCTCCTACCTTCTTTCCTCCAACGCTGGCCCTGACTCCACCCATTCGAAGAACATGGACGCGCAATCATGCACTTACTCTCTCTCTCTCTCTCTGTACCGGGGCGACTTGCACTTACTGTGACTGGGTCACGAGCTGTGAGTATGCGCACAAAGGGGACACGTAGCATTACGCTTTTGGAAAAGCCATTAAATAGTCCTTCCGCCGGTAAACTCAGCCTCAGTTGTTTGGTTTAATTCCTTTGGTCTAATTTTGGTGTGTTGGGTTTATAAATTCTTCCATCTATCCTTGTGTGTAGAGGACTGTGTTTATGTGTGCCATTTCATACTGCCCTATGTGATCATCTTTCTGATAAATTGCCATTAATTGTATGTTTAGCGCTAAGCGCCTTTGTTAAAGAATATATATTGTTTTAACTATTTTTGTACGTCAATAAAGACACTTTGTATTAATTGTTTGCACTCCTGTCTCTGACCTCCCAGGCACACTCGGACCTGTGGGACCTAGAGTTATTGCTGGGTTGTTTTGATATTCCCTGGGTGGTTCAGGGTGGCGTAGTCAACAATTATCACAATAAGCTAAATCTGTTTATGAAAATCTTATACCGCTCCGTCACATTAAGAAGAAAATTCGGCTAGATCAGTGTTTAAATGAGGAAACATGCCCTCATCTGCTTAATTTTGTGGAACAGATGCCGAATGCTAAAGCTGAGTAAAGTTCAGAGAAAGTTTACAGTTTTTTGCAGTTGTGTGTCATATTATACTCATTACAGGTGTTATTTGTGTATTTTTTTTTTTTTTTTTTTTTTGAAATGCAGGCATTGGCTCGTCTGATCAAATGGGTTTACAGGGATACTGTTTAATACATTTTGCACAATTAAACAATTGCATTTACAGATGACAGATGACCGGACCAAACAAGAAAATGGAGATCGCTTCCAATATGTTTCCCCATGGAGGGGAAACAAACAACTTTTAAATAGAGGGACTGTTTTTATTTTCCAGAACAGCAGATCTATTAAGGAGTATGGAGGAGTTTTTGAACACCTGCCATCGAGACACCTGCGACGACGTCTGCTTAATGGAGGGATTCTGGTGTGGACTGGACGAAGATCTCCGTTTCGTCATGCCCCGCACTGATCCCTGCTGGTCCCTAGAGAGTTACATCCCTTTCGCCCTGTGGACAGATGGATCCCTATTAACCGTGGGCGAAGCAGAGGATGACATCAGCATCGTCCAGACACACCTCGCTGACGTCTCGCAGCCAGACCCAGAGCTCAGCCCACCATCACCCAGCACCACAGAGACGACGATGCCCGGGCCCCCCGCAGACGGAGCATCCAACCGCTGCAAGTGAGTCGCCCACCTATGATGACACCGCCAAACATCGCCCCGGAGCCGATGCCCCAAAGGGAGTCTGACCAGCGGTGTGAGCCAGGACCATCGTACCAGTGGGAGTCTTGGTGGAGACTGAGGACTGTTTAATAGACTGGGACTCTGAGGTACTGCTTTCCACCCTTCCCCACCCTGAATCGTCTGTATTATCATCTGTGCCTTCATCGCCGCTGGTTCAGCCCAGCATTATGACATTATTGTCATCCTGTATAGACAGTGTATTATCGTCTTTGATTCCACCGAGCCTTCCTCACACCTCCACTACAGATCTCAGCCAGTCCCTCAGCCCTGCCTCAGTTGGTTTCCTGTAGTCCTTCGCCTTCCCCCGTGACGCCTTGCAGTGTTGTCAAGCTTATGGCCATGCACTCACCAACCTCGCCTAAGCGTGATGATCTCTCGGCTCCGCCTCCGGTGGCTGTTCCCTTCGCTCCAGGTCGGCCCGTCGCCCACCAGACTCCCTCGTCCCTTCGGCTTCACCTCGTCGCTCCTCTGTCGCACCGGCTCCGCCTCATGTCGTCTGCCATGTCAACACCTTGGCTCCTCCTTCCATCGACTTCTGGGGAGGGGCGTTATGTCACAGACACTCATTCTTAGTTTCATTAT